CCCAATGAAATTCAGTTTTGCTAAAGGGATGAATATACATCATTTTTGATTGCCTTTCATCCTAATTATCCTATGGAAAATTGGCACTAATTAAAACTGAAATGTAGGCACCTATAAAATGCTAAAAGACAGCTCAGCCTTACTGGAACTCCCATCAGTAAAAAGCCCCACAAACACACAGTAAGGAAATGAAGACATTTGGACTTTGAGACAAGTGCAACATGGGTTTATTGTCAAACTGGTTATTAAGACATGAACTTGATTAAACACTATATCAAATGTTAAATCCACTGTAGTAAAGTGCAGATTCAAATCAAGTTGCCCTGGGAGTCTTCATACATTTTCTATGTCTGGTTTAGAGTTGTCAGGTTAAAACAGACTGCAGTATGAAATCTTATGAATAACGTCAAGCCCTTTTTTTTCCAACCCACACATCTAAAGCTAATGTGCAAACATGATATCTCACAAAGCCTCAACTGTTCTGTACATTGAGGCATCCTCCCACACTTTTGTGTCTTCGGTTCTCATACAGTTAGATGACAGTTGTATAAAACACGCACAGCTATCCTAGCTGTAGTATAACTTAGTCTAGGAGTTCTCATGAAAGATTTTCTGCAGTGATAGGTTGGCTGATATGCTGAGGTTGCACATGCACAGTGGGCCAATGTTAACCTACCCAGACTTTACTTTTTGATAAAGATTATGAAAGAACATTGATGTTTAAAGGTCACTCATATATGAACATTAAGAGGTCACTTCTGCGCACTCCAGCGGTTGTAGTTTCTAGTGGCAGTCATGCGCGTTACGGAATCTCCATGAGTGCCACTCCAAACTCTTGTCCTCAATCATTTACGTAAGCTCAAAAACACTCTGCATACAAGAAAACAACATGTGGCACTCGCACTCACTCCTTTACACAAACACTCAAATTCATTCATACTTACAACAATCACTATGATGGTTTTGCACCCCCTACCATCCTAAAGTGAAGTAGGGGGATGTTGAAGGAAATGGCAGCAGTGAGGTAAACACAAAAACTCATGAGATATTGCACAGACAAGTGCCGGCACAGAATACAACAGTCTCTCTTTCCAACAGCCTAGCCTGTGCATAGGAAGAATAAAGCACTTATGGTGATCGCACATTATAAACCCTTCATGTAAAGCTTTGTTATACACTAAACAGGGAAGGACAAAAGGAGTCTCGAATCCCCACCGCTTAGCAGATCCAGACTTGCATGTCAATAACTAAATGTATTGTAAGAGTAGAAAAAAAAAACAAAACCTTATGATGACTGAGGAAGGGTCCATGACAATTGGCAACAGTGACAGGACAAACAAAATCTAATCTGAAGTCCCAGCAGAAGTAGAAATGCCTCATCCCTTGCTTTGAGAAACAGGAAAAAGCTGAGGCTGGGTTGGAGAAAAATCTCTCAAGTCTCATTCAATAAATAGCATTATGGAATATGCAAAAAAAAAAACCTAAAGCAAAAAATATGTAAACCCCGTGCTTACTTCATCTAGAGTTCCAGCTGTGTTTGTCCATGTTGCAGTCCGCTCTCTTTATACTTCCCCACAGATCTGGCTGTGACCAGCAGTAGCTCCATCAAAGAGCAAACGCATGAAGAAAATGGTCATTCATTGCTCCTTTTACTCCACTCATTTTTCAGTTCATCCTGGTTGCAAGAGGACATTTTTGTGCACACAGATCTTCAAGTTCATACTCTCCAAACTATCTTTCAGCTCTTCAAACACCATGTGGGTTAGGCATTGAACTACGATGCTCCACAGTGTGCCCAGTCCACTCAGAGTAATCACACCCCCTCCTGTATTTATTCAGTCATTCCCCCTGACTCCTCCGCGATCATTATCTGTGGAGCAAGACAAAGGCTTCTAGTTTCTCTGGGATGTTTCCCTGGTACTTGAGGCTGTGTTTGATGATAGCTCTGGCGGCGAGGCACTGCAGTGTGGTGTGGTTTATGGGCTGGATGACATTTCTTGCAAGCTCCTTCTCGTCCAAGAGGTCGCAGGCTGTTTGTTGGAAGGCGTTGGTGCTGTCGAAGTGAGTCCCGCAGGAAATCAGTAGATTCATGATGTCAGGGTGACCATTTGATGCAGCTATGTGGAGGGGGCTGAAGAGGGCATAGATAATAGATATGTTATTATCCTGTGCATCATATACATCAATCAGCCACAACATTAAAACCACCTGCTTAATATTGCGTAGGCGCCCCCTGAGCTGCCAAAAAAAGCTTTGACCCATCAACGTATAGACTCCAAGACAAGACCCCAAACGTGCCTCCACCAGCTGATCTTCTTCACATAGTGCTTAGTGATGCCAGCTTTTCCTGGGTAAACAACGCACACACAGCCAGATGTCCATACAATGTAAAAGAAAATGTGATTCAGACCAGGCCACCTTCTTCCATTGCTCCATGATCCAGTTCTGATGCTCCTGTGCCCACTGTAGGCACTGTTGGCAGTAGACAGGGGTCAGCATGGGCACTCTGACCAGTCAGTCGCTACGCAGCCCCACACACAACAAGCGGTGTGTTCTGACACTTGTCTACCATAAGCAGCATTAAAATTTTCAATAATATGTGCTACAGTAGGTCCTCTGTGGGATCAGACAAGACAGGCTAGCCCTTGTTCCCCAAGCACATCAATGACCCTGTTGCTGGTTCATTGTTTGTCCTTCCTTAGACCACTGTTTATAGGTGCTAACCACTGCAGACCAGGAGCATCCAACAAGAGCTGCAGTTTGGGAGATGCTCTGACCCAGTTGTCTAGCCATCACAAATTGGTATTTGTCAAAGTCACTCAGATCCTTATGCTTGAACACGTTTCCCTTTTCCAACACATCAACTTCAAGAACCGAATGTTCACTTGCTGCTTAATAAACCTGCCCCTTGACAGGTGTGATTGTAACAAGATAATCAATTTTATTCATTTCACTTGCCAGTGGTTTTAATGTTGTGGCTGATCAGTGTAACTCATCAAACACTGGTCTGGTCTGACATGTTCATTTAATTAGGCTTCCTTTATTTTGATTGACCTTTTCAATACAGACAGAAATAAAATTCTCATTCAACTGCTTTCAATTACGTAGTTTCTAGAATATTTATGATAAATATAAGTAAAAACAAAAACCTGGAGAGTGAAATGAACAGAGAAACATAAGTAGGATTAAATAAAAACAACCAGACCTGTTGTCATCTTCATCTCGACTGTTAACATCTGCCCCACACTCAAGAAGGATGGAAGCGACTGTGAGGGAGGGGAACTTGCAGACAGGATAGCGACCTACACAGGTAGTGTTGCGGTCAACCGCCAGGTGTAGTGGACTGTAGCCGTTCTTACCACATGGCTGGAGCTTCAGGAATCTGAAAATGCAGAAAGACGTCAACTTTTCAGTCAAGACATACCAGCAAGATGATAACTGACAACAAACATCATGGTAACAGTACTACACTGGTCCAAGACAACTTTCCAACTGACAATTAAGACTTAAGGTTTAACTATCATTATATAAAGGATTTGTTATGGTAAATTCACCTAAGTCCTGTGGCAGAGGCTGAATGTATTAGTTCATCTTAAACCCTCTTCTTTGCCACAAAGAGGGCTATAAATGTGTCCTCAGCTGGTACAAGTTCACACTACCAAAGCAAACACCAGGCAGGGTATGACAAAGCCATTTTCAGAAATGAGGTCAAAGAAATTCACTGCTGCTGAAAACTGCCCATTCCCTCAGAACTTAACATACTTTTTTCTTGCACCTGTGCACACACACACACAGCTGGCCTTGCTCAACATGTATAGATTACTGAGGTCATTTCAATAGATTTTTCACACTGAAGACAAACTCTTGCCTATGTAAGTATGTTCCACAGAAACACACCTATAGATGGTTTCCTTCTTGAAGTGGTCCTGCTCTGCAGTACATGGCACCTTCTCTAGAAGACATACAAGGTGCAAGATGATTGACAGGGCCTTGCTAAGCTGGGCAGGGTCAGGAGGAATCAGTCCAGTTTGTTTAATCGCCCGCTCAACCTCCAAGACACTCTTGGACAGGATCCCCATCAAATCCTCAAATGACACAGATGTCCCCAGGAGCCCCTTGGCCCTGTCCTGCAGCATGAACGAGAAGAGCTCAGCGAACGACAGCAAGCTGGAGGCAGTCATTGGGCTGAGGGGGTCCAGGTTGCTCTGCTGCATGTCCAATGCATACTTCCACAGATTGATGCAGCGCTCAAAGTTCCCAGAGTCAGCGTAAACGGCACCTCGGTAACGAATATAGTAAGAAGTGTCAGGATGTTGTGGGCCAAGGATTCTCTCACGAATGAGCAAAGCTTGCATGCGCATCTCATCCGGGTCAGATATCAGCCCATCCAGTTCTTCTCCATTTGTTACCTGGGAAGAAGATTTAAAGATGAAGACAGTGTGGGAGATTTTCCATGTCCGTGCTTCTTTTACCAAACTCTAACTCAGTCAGCAATAATAAAACCTATTTCAAGAGTGTTTAATTTAATTACACATATAGGACCACTTCAGGATGATACTAGATGAAAAGACAGACTCACCTCTCTGGTATAGTCATATGCCATAATCAGCTGCTTGGGTTCCGGTTTATGGACAATGTTGTTACTGTCCATGTACCTGAGGTCCATGGCTCTCTTCCAGTATTTTAAAGCTCCGAGCAGATCTCTCTTTTTGTCCACAAATGTGGCTCCCAAGAGTTCTAGTGCATCTATACGTTCCATGTGGCTTGTCTACAGACAAAAAAAACAACAAAAAAAAAACCAACATTTTTCCCCCCTTATTTCTCCAAGATTCAAAATATCATGGCCACAGCCTCACACACATTTATGGAAACCAATCCATTAGTAAGGGACATAAATCCTGACCTGCTGGTACGTTGTCAGGTAGTCTACGATGTTAGTGTGGCCTGTGACGCTGGCAGAAAGAAGGGGGGTCATGCCATAGCCATCCTGTTCCATGGTAGCTCCATACTGGAGCAACATCCGCATGATCTCCAGACTGCCTGACTCTGCACAGTCATGAAGCGCCGTGTTCCCTGTGAACAGCAAGGATTTACCTCACAGTTATTTCTATTCAATGAAAACACAAAGACAGTATTACTACACTAGGGCTTAGCCAAAATTCAGGGACAGGTGCGCTAAAACAGGTTTAAAAAAAGTTTCCTAAATGTTTCTGAATAGAGCTGCACGTACGGGTTACACAAGAGCTACAAGGGCATCTAGTCACTGTGCACACTGCCATTTCACTTTGAACATATTCAAAATGCAGATCAGCTGATACCAGGATTATTGCTGATGCTGCCACTGAGCCACTTGTCTGTTAGGTGCTCATTTCAACCCAATGATTACCCAGTCAGGTGAGATGTGTCATGCTCACAGTATGTGCAAGTAATTCCTAACACTCTCATTTGGATAGAAAATTGGTAAGTCATGCCGTCTGTAGCTCCATGATCATTTTAAAGGTAAATCTAGCTATTGAATAAAAAGGCTGTAATAGAAGATGTCAGTTCAACTGCTACAAACCTGGGCCCATGCTGTGTAATCTGGGCAGAGCTGGCATTATGGTCTATTTTGACCCATTTTTTATAAATACTGAGCATTATTTTAAAAATATCTGTAGCATGATATGCTCTAAGGTTGTTCAGATTTCTCTGAATTCATCTTTACAAACAGCACAGATTGCCCTCTGTCCTCCAGCAAGTTGTTTTGGAAGTTTAGGAGGTCGAGCTTTACCTTGGGTAGAGGCTGCAGCTGGAAACACAAAGCATTATTTAGAGATACCTATATGAACCAGAGTCTGATCCTGACTGGGAAGGGGAGGAACCTGTGCTGTGGAAGACTAGAGCCTTCTGCTAGATGTTTCGGAATGGCAAGATCACAAGTATCCCAAAAAGATAGGTAATTTTTTCAGACATATTTGGAGGCAGCAAGCTTTTTCTTTAGCACAACTATTTTCATTTAGTTGAGTAATGTTATCTACACCTCCAGAACAACTGCTTGAATATGTTTCAACCTTGGTGTACACAGAGCAGATGAGGCCAAACAGGGTTAGCCAGGGATTAACCATAGTTTTTACTCTTCTGTTTTTATAATCCAAGCAGACTCCTAACAAAGAAAACTCTGACAGCAGCAGCACTGCAGCTTTTCATCTAGTTTGCTAAAACTTAATAAGGCAAGCTGGGTTAACTCTGCAAAACAGACATACATGGTTTCTGATATTTAAAGTGTAGGGGTGTAAATGTACCGGACAGTTTTGGTATGGCACAGATGTGTACCAAATGCAATCTTTAATAGCAATTAACAATAGGTTTTTTTTTTTTAGTGTGGTACAAACACTGCTTCCTTCACCGGTGACTTCAAAACCATAATACATACTAAACCATGATTCCTGTGTACCATTACACCTCTACTACAGCATTTTAATATTTTCAGATATTATGGTAAACTAATAAATCATACTCCAAAGAAATATTACACCATTTCATCTCCTTGTTGTCATACACTGCAACAGTGCCTCTTTAGGGCTTTCCTCAAAACCAGCTTCACCAGACATGATACCTTTTCTAGGGGAAAATCATACAATAAATAGTCTGCTTTTATGATGTAGGAAATGTGTTGAGCATTGCTCGTCTGAATGACAAATCCACTGACAAACTTGAAAGAAGATAATCCAGAGACTTTCAAAGCCAGGGATTAGTCGGAATACTCATTACAGGCCTCAAAAGAGAACTTAGGCTACCTTAAGACCAAGAGAGAACATCTCAATAGTGGGTGTACTGAAAGCATTTCATGAACTGTGTTGGTTTGTCTGGGGAGAAAGGGAGCTACCCCAGCTTTTTTTAAGCAGTACAATAAGCTGTGATTGTGAGGTCTGAAACATTTTAACAAACCTGCTTGCCTTCCTCTATCAACAGGATGTTCATTGTTTTTGGAAATTTGCCACTTCAAATCGGATTGGTTTGTGTCCAATACCTGACTCCTGCTCTTCTACTGGCCAGGAAACCTTAGTGTCTTGACACTGATGTTTTGGATGTTCATGATGTGAGTGAAACTAATGTTAACCACAAATTAGCCAAAGGTGGTACAGATGGTCAGAGGAGAAGCGGGCTATGACAAAGGAATAAATGGAAGTGTTTCTAACTATGTGTGATCATTTCCCCCTACAAAACCTGGTCCTATTTTAACTGTAACAAACACAAATTCAAACTAAACACAGTTCCTGAACTCCATGAAGGAAAGAACAATATTTTCAGCCTTCTTACATGTGTACAGTGATCAAATGTGTTGACATACGCTAATGCCTCATACCTTATAAATGTTACCTGTTACCTCATAAATCACAACACCCTAAAACTGATGGACACTGATTTTCATATTTTTACTAAATACTATGTAAAAGAGAAAATTTTCAGATGTAACCACAGCCCCACGGTGACGTAACAGCTTTCCATTGTGAAACCAGAAATTCACGTTGTTCTGTTGACTCATTTCAAATGGAACTATGAGCAAGCCTGAATTATCCAATATTGCAGGCTCTTACTGGATATAGCAAAGTGAGTATTTAGAGCTCTGTATGTAATCGCCTGAGGTGTATGAGGGCTTTTTATCAGTTTACAATACAATCCCTGTTTATTTTTATCAAAACAGTATGTGTTATGAGCCCTATAAAACACGCCTCTCAGCACTACTGAGTTCCTGTGGAACAGAGAATTCAAACTTTATTAAAACTTTGAAATGTACAAATCTGCGGATGCAACCAGTTTCTTATCCGAGGGTCACATACCATGTGAATAAAGGAGGCCACTGTATGTCAGCGTGCCATCTACTTACCCTTTACACTTTTCCTGTTGACATCCGCGCCTTTCTCCAGCAGGTACTGCGCTATCTCCTTGTGTCCCTTGTAGCATGAAATCATGAGACACGTGTGACCGTGTCTGTTGGCCACCTCCAGGTCAGCTTTGTGCTCCACCAGGTATTTCACAATGTCCAGGTGGCCATCAAAGCAGGCTGCTCTCAGGGGAGTTGAGTTGGTCAGGGTCGTGCTGTTGACAGAAGCCCCGTGGCCCAGCAGGGACTGGACCACCTTCAGGTGACCCGCCGCCGAGGCGGCCCAAAGAGGGGGTGCTCCCTCAATTGTTTCCCCGTCAAAGTTCACCGACCCACCAACCTCAACAGGCGCGCTACAGCACTCCAGCAGATACTCCACCAGGTCCAGGTGGCCGTACCGGGCGGCCATCAGGAGCGGGGTGGCCCCGTTTGTCTTCTCTCCCATCAACTTGGTCACCTCGTGTCCATCTTTGTTCTCCAACAATTTCTGAAGCAGCCGAAGCTTGCCGTCCCTGGCTGCGTTAAATACTGCTGTCTTTAAATCCATTTCTTACAGTTGGTTTCACTCTCCAATAAATAAATAAAAAAACAGGTAGCGATGTTCGTGAAACAATCAAGTCGATAATAAATAGAGGTGTAACGCTGCAGTGGACAGGTGGAGCTTGGGACCCTTTGTTTACAACAAGCTCTCCTCTTAACTAACCATAGCGTTTTGGTAAAATGCCCGTACCAATTCGTCAGTTTCTAAACTTTAGCATCGCTGACCCGGTGTGTGAATCTCTAGCTATTTATAACTCAGGCTTTGAGACGAACCTTAGTCTAGTAATACATTTGTCGCCGAACTAGCAAAGTGGCTAGACAACTTCCTTGAGTAAATTAGCTAACAGACTATCTTTGCTCAACTGAACTACTTTACACCTCTTTATTGATCTTCTGACCGATGCTCATCCGCTGACATTTCTTCCCCTCCAAGAAGCTTACGCTCCATTTCATCTGCTACCTGCGGTTGTCACTGTTCCACACCGTACCCCTGAGACGGCATTTAAATTCGCTTTCCGATGAGCTAAAATGAAGAAATCCACCCCCACCCGTTACGACGTGCTAGTGTTAGCTTAGCCTGGGAAAACGACGCGCTCTCTCTCTCTCTCTCTCGTTCGGCCAAACGAGCAACGGAAATCCCCAATATCCAGGCCCGTTTTTCGTTCAAACACACGCCGAGAAGCAAACGACAGTCGTTAGCCCTTAAACAGCAAAAAATAGCCGTCCATGTATCCACTCAACAAGCTGGCACGACAATAATCTCAAGAAGGGAAAGGTAAATAAGGAAGGCTACCACCCACGGCTCTACCGGATGATCACGACTCAGTTTCTGTCAAATCGCGAACGTAACGCAGTGGTTTTTTTTCTCGACTAGAACGAATGATTGACGTGTGAATGACCAATCACAGCGCTGACAGACTATTAGTAGCCAATAAAAAACAAAGACAATGGAAAATCATTTTCAAGCACATAGATCTACCTACTCTTAATAAAAAACAGATCTACTCAACTAGATTACCTGTCCGGAAAAGAAACCCGAATTTAAAATAAATTTGAAAGTACGTCCTTCGTTATTGCCGGTTTAAAGATATATTTTGAAAAATAAAGGACCTGGCTGTGATGGTCTGGATCATACCATCCCCTACAGGATATAAGAAGCATAACCAGAGACTGTATCCAAAAACTCCACCCTGCGCTGAAAACTGCTTAATGATTAAATAAAAGCACACTGCGACATTTTAAAATAATTTTTATTCAACTATCCAATAACTTAACAAGTTTCCAGACTGCCTTGGTTGGATTTGTGTCCAAAAACACCTGTCAGTGAACAAACCTAAAGGGAAAGACTGCAGCACTACTGACATTTAACATGCGGTGAGAGGGAGAATGAATAACAGAAGCCGCAAAGCCTAGCCAGAAATAATAATTGTCAAAAAATAAAATGATATACTTTTAATCACTTAACACTGAGTCTCTGGAATCTGTTTTGACCAAGTTACACAGTTCAAAAAGACTGAACTGTAAAGTTGAATAACTATTGACATATCGGTCTAGTTAGTCATTGGTTTAGGTCTAAAAGTTGCAGTCAGAATTCTCAAATTACAACAGTGATGTGTTCTAGTTTTGCCAAATGTTTATGTGATCTCTGTCACATCCACATATGGTGTGTATTGTTAAAATACTTCAAAATGGCTACATGATACTCATATTTCAGCCATATCTGTGTCTAAGAGCTATAGTTGCTGTCATATTTTGTTTGGAAATTAGTGAATAGTGAGGGGGGGAAGTCATATCTGCAGAATTAGTACTTCCTGCATGATTAAATATTTAGTGAAAATCCAAAGCACTGCTAATAGAATCTGGTGATAAAAAAAGGACAGTGGAAGAAGGAATAAATTATGCAGAGATTTAAGGTGGTTAACATCCCGATTAATTTGAAAATGAACAGGGTAGTCAATGAGGGAATAAAATTTCAAATTACGTACAACTCCAAGTCAGTTACTAGAATTATCTTATATTCAAGCAATATTTTGCAAAACATGAATTTTACAACAGTGCTGTATAAAACCAAGAGGACAGTATCAGTCCACAAGATAAATAAACTGTTAAACTTTAAACAGGAAAGGCAGTTGAACTTGGTACAACATTAAAAGAGACCAGTAAGTTTTTATAACAGGCACACTTAAACTGTTGCCATTTCCACTTAACACACAAAATGTGCCATTTTCAAAACAAATTTTTCTTGTGTCCCTCAAGTCACAAATACAATAAAAGTCCCAATCTGAACTTAAAACATTGATTCAATTTAAAAATTCATGCTATACGTACAACCAAAAAAAAGATTTTGTATTTCCATAAGTGGGGTAAAACTATGGAATAATTTAAGTGTAGACATAAAAAA